GGTGCAACGACCCGACGCGCCCTGTGGCGGCCTGATCGCCACCCTGCCCCCTCCACCAGCGACGACAGCGATTGCAGCATCACCAGTAGCAACAGCAACAGCAACAACAACAGCGACGAAGAAGAAGAGGAGGAGGTGAAGGCCACGCTTATCGGCGGTAGCGGCGATGTGCCCTTCGAGTGCAGGACCACCGCTTGACGTCCCACCCGCAAAGAAAAAGCAGTGAACAACATTGTTCAATATAATATCATTATTATTCATGATTATCAACAAAACAGACGAGATACACAGGAGTGGGCGGGCGTTTGTTGCATTCAGGGTCCGTCCAGCGATCGACGGCTGATGAAGGCACGCCAGGACAGGAACCTGCACCAAGACCGCAAGACAAGAGGACTCGATGGGCAAGGGACCACCGCGTAACCTGCGGCCCGAGACCGTAGATTTCGGAAGGTCGCAAAAGAAATCGTTGAGAAATCACGGTAGAAAAAAATTTGTCGACAGATATTAGGAGTTTTGTTTCGGTCGAACAGACAACGGGAGACAGGTGAGGAGAGTTGACAGAGAAGCGTATGTCCACCACGCGGCGCGAGAAGCTCGGCGGCGAACAGGGACAACGCGCCAAAACAGAGGCGGGCCAGGTCCGCGGGCTTGGCTGGTACCATGGTGCGATGGTCCCCTATACTACCCACCACATCGGCGCCTCGCTTCCATCGCACAGAGCGTAGTATGAGGGCCGCCACACTCGGTGGAATGTGAACAAGGCTCCCCATGGAATGCAGGGTCTGTTCCATACATTCCATGGTTATGCGCACTTAATGTTGGTGGAGGATGTGAACTATACAAGGGACGCATGGCAACGAGGCCGTATACCCCGGTGGGGCTGTACTACCGGCTCGCTTCCCCCGCTATCGAGGCTCCCCTCCACTCCGAACGCGCAGCCCGAGGTCTGGTATAAAAGGCCAGCCCGGCCAACCTAATCCTCACTTGTCTTCTCTTCACCACACACTCAGGCAGCTTCTGTTGAACACCCTCAACAGAACTACTACTCGAAGAAGAAGTACAAAGTCCAAGCGCTCTCCATCTACCCCTCCCCCTCCTTCAACCATCCACCTTCATCATCATGAACACCAAGTACTTGATCCCGCTGGCCTGCCTCATGCTCTCGCTCGCCGTCTTGAGCGCGGCCATCAGCCCTCGCTTCAATGAGCGCGCCTACGATCTTCTCCAGGACAGCGCCACCAACCGCCAGTACTTCAACAACTGGGCTAGGTACCACTCCCCTCCCCCTGCCCCAATGGGCCTTCGCTTTTTTGGCTTCGTTCTTTTTGGCTTCGTTCTTTTTCTTGACTCCGTCGGCTGACATTACCGTCGCATTACCCTCAGGTACCACGGACGCAGCTATGCGAGCCATGAGTTCGCCTTCAGGTACGACACGTGGCGCGACAACTATGCCTACGTCGAGCACTTCAACGCCAACGCCAATGCCAGCTTCACCCTCGCCATCAACGACCTCGGTGACATGACCGAGGACGAGATCGGCCGCGTCTACACGGGACTCG